TCTATCTATCTATCTATCTATCTATCTATCTATCTATCTATCTATCTATATATGCCCAGTCATTTCCTCCATGTTTTTGTCTAACATCAGTTTTGGCTGGCCTCAAAGAGGGCGAACTTTTCTGGTCCCGGATCTAGTGATTCGTTATCCTGTCATGGCGGGACTGGGCTAGATCTACTTACCAAGTCTAACGGCAGTGGCACGAGTACAACGAGCGGCTGCGTCAGTCAGGCCAGCAGCATCGGCGGCAGTTGCACCGGTCTCGCTGGCAATGGCTACTATGGCAACAGCTCTGGCGCCCAGAGCAACGGCTTGCTGGGCCCTGGAGATTTGGGTGTCGGGCTGACAGTCCCATTGGCAAGTGGGCTCGACGGCCTTCCGGGAGGCATATGCCGCTTGCCAACCGGCAGCACTGGATATTGTACCAGCCTTTCGGGCCCCCAGGGGCATCCATACGCTGGGTTCCTTCAAACGCACCCGCCTCCGCCGCCGGCGACTACAACTCCCAGCATTAGCTACTACGCCCTAGCTGCCCCGGCCTCGGCATCAGGACCACACGCCGCTTCCGCCCCTCAGCCGCTCTCCTCCGTCTCGGGCGTCGGCCCCGCGGGCTCTCCGGGAGCCAGCTATCTTTCGGCTAGTGCTCCTCCCACTTCTCTTTACCCAGGACTCGGCCCACCGGTCACATATTGTGTTACGCAGAGCGGTCCTGCCCTGGGACAGACCATCTGTTCCGCTGCTGCCGGCCTTACGGGTCCCCCTGTCACATTGAGTGGCCATGCTGAGGCCGCCCTGTCTAACGGCGTCGCTTGCCACGCCCTATCATCTGCTTCGGCTGCGTCCTCTATGGCGCAGGCTCTGGCCCTCAACAACTTCTTGGCGGCTGCTGCAGCGGCCGCAGCCGCGGCAACCCCTAGCTCGGGCATGCATGCTCAGGCGTTGTCAGGACAACCGATGCACCAGAGTTCACCGGGATCAGTGAGTCCTACCAAGTGGTGTGATATCTGGGGCTTGCCTAATCGGCTGAATTGGTTAGCCAGGCCGGGTACCAATTTTTATGGAGGTTCTTTGAGATGAGCTCATTTTGGACAGTCCTGACTTCGGCTTGTACATACCATCGGAGAGTATTACTGTAGTTGCACTTCCACTCATTCTGTGCATGATATACCATTCATGTACATTTT